CTTAAGGAGTGCTTTGGCTAATTCTATTTGTACAACATTCAATTTTGCATTTTTTCACTTGTTGACTTTTATTGATTTTGTTTGGGCCTATAAAGCCCTGTGTTATACTCCTTCCCCCTTTAAGAAACAAAAGCTTGCTTCAGTAAGCTTTTGTTTAAGTTAAAATCAAATGATCGTCTACAGGGTGTAGCACCCTAGGATCATAAACGATACCGACAAAAGTCTTAGAGCAAAAGTTTACGCAATTATCGCCGGCATGTGTCTAAAATATCTATGAACACCAGGGGCGTGCTGTATTCCAGTGGCTTATTAAACTTGCATTTTTTTTAAATGGGACACCCCATATTTTATTACTGATTTGGAGAGTACTTGAAAAGTACTTATTTTTTATGTTATACCCCAAGTTTAACGATTTTTGAAATTTAATTTGAGAGATACTAAATTGTGCAGGCGGCTAATTTTTGGAAAGAGGCACTTTATCGAAAAAATAAAATTTTGGATTCGCCAAATGTCATATTTTTTCAAAATTTCAAAACGATCCTCCAGATCTTCACGCGTCCATCATTTGTATAATAATTTTTTGGTCCAATATAGTATAGGTACGTCGCTGAAAAATAATAGCAACATTTCATATATTTTTAAGAACGTGTTTACCAATTTTCAAAGCGATCGAGCGTTTCTAATATAATATAATATATAATAATATAAACAATTATTGTCATTGCTCACATGGACAGACAGACAAACGGACAGATAAGCAGACAGCAATGTAAAATTATAAACGATCTCGAGGATCGTTAGTTCGTAACTAATTTAGCAGAGTGCATTCTTTTGATCTCGATATTTCCTCCCAACATGCGCCCTGGCTTTTTGTGTGTACAAATTATGTAACGTTCCCGTTTATTATACATTTAAATTAAAATTCCCGCTAGATATTGATATATAAACTCAAGGTAACCAACAACAAGAATTTTGATAAAGGTAACTGGTAAGATCAAGGGGTTATCGAATGGAGAGAGAATTGACGAAAATGAGCGTATACGTAAGAAAAATGGCTGTTATAAATGAATGAATCCCAGAATATTCCTGTAATCCTGTAAAGAAATTCAAAATTAATTAAATTAATTGTTACATTTACTGCATACATAAACTAAGTACATAAGTAATTATATCATGGTCATTCTTTTATAATTCTCAAAATTCCGTTTCAGATTTTAGATTCATGCCATATGTGATATTTCAAATTATATGAAATACCTTTTAATTAAAAAAATAAACCCAATTACATTTGGTAAGAAGAAATGTATAAGCAAACTCTTAATGACACCTAGTTTATTTTAGGGTTTATTTCCTATCTATTAAGTTGTTAAAACACCAATTTGGATCATAAGATATAATCTACCCCTAAATTTACCAAGATTAAGAGTTTGACCCATACCTATTTACCTCTGGAGCCGGAATCCACAGAATCTCATCCAACACCTTCGTTTGATAACCATCGGTGAGTCCTAAAAACAACAAAATAGAAATCAAGTTGGATTAAGGTCAGAGAGACTGTTCATCATTTAAACTCACCTCATTAACCATCCAACAACACCAATCATATTGTGAAGTAATCACTAAATGCGTAATCTGTAAGAGATCTCCGGTAAAACCCCACAACATCTACTCAAACATTCACCTTAAAATTTCTAATTTCCTTAAAAAGAAGTTTATACTTAAATAAGAAAAATCATACTGATTAACTAGTGATTATCTTAATGAGCATTAAAGAACTAATTATTTGTATCAGTGGTTTATTTCATGTAGTTCTAGGACTGGGTTTTTAGTAATCGTACCCTAATTTATCCAACGCAACCCTGGCGCCCTAGTAATCCTTATATGCTCTCCGGTTTTGAGCCGAGCCAAGGGGTATCGGTCCAACATTGTATGAACCATTCCCAAATTATGTTTAGGTATCCATATCACGACCGTATTTGCGTTACCTCTTCATGAACCTATCGAATTAGTATTTTCGCCAATACGAAAAGGTTATAATTAGTCCTTAGTTTATACGTTGCATTTCTTTTTACTAATTTCGAGAATTGTTCTTTTTTTAGAAAGAAATTGTTTTCAATAATGACTTGGGTACAATTTACTCTTTAATTTATACGTTCCATTTCTTTTTATTAATTCTGAGAATTGCCCTTTTTTAGTTAAAAATTGTTTAAACAAGGAAAATTAAGTTGGGTACAAATTAGTCTTTAATTCATAGTTTTTGATGCAACTAATAAAATTTCAATCCGGAAAAGTGGGGGTGCTAACTTGAAAATCGGTTTTCCGGCGGAACTAAGCGGATACAAATTCTAATTTTGTGGGTACAAAATTATAGGCATTTGGCAAAGTGGGGGTGCCAATTTTCTCGACCTCGATTGTAGTTGAGTAGACTATTGCCTTTTTTGTGAGGTTTTTTAAAATTATGTTGTTGATTAAATCGTATCCAGGGGATTTTTTTTATTGCTATAGCGTTTATATGTGTGTTGTTAATTCGTTTGGTGTCATCGAAGTCGTTTGGTATTGGTTGATGGGTTTCATTGTAACTGCACGTGGAAAATTTCGGTTATCTGAAATGATTGGAGTAAATGTTTGCTTCATTGATCAGTCTAACAGGCAACGATTAATGTGGTTTAAAATGATTTTTTTATGTTGGCATTACAATATTCCCCAAAAACCGAATTGACGACGTGCGACGTACTAAGGAAAATTCTACTTTATCATCACCATTTCTGGGCGTACCTTAGCCGACTTCGACACTTTATGATCAAATGCCCTACCCTTAAGTATCGATAATATTACCCCTTTTTAGCGCATTTCCACAAAAATAAAAATAAAAATGCGCTATTGTGGCCACTTTGTCCGTCCGTCCGTCCGTCCGTCCGTCCGCTAACTTTGCGACGCTACTAGTTTTTTATCTTAAGAACTATTGTTCTACTTTTTTCGCTATTTGGTTCGTTATGGTGTCGAGTCTTGTACCAAGGAAGGAATTTTTTCTGTACCGCTTACAAAAAAGTTATTGTAAAAAAAACAAAAAACCGTTTTTTACATGTTCCATAATTTTACACTTTTGCCGTTTATTAACGATCCTAGAGATCGTTTATAATTTTGCATTGCTATCTGTCGCCTGTCGGTTGGTCTCTCCGTCTGTTCCTTTGTCTGTCTGTCCATCTATCTGTCCGTGTGAACGATAACTTTGTTTAGAAATGTTCGATCGCTTTTACATCTCCGTTAGTAATGAACTGAATTGCATGAAATTCAATATGGGCATAGCTTTAGCCATATAATACGCAATGCCAAAAGTTGAATCGAATCGATTCAAAATTCACAGTGCCCTTTTCGCATCTCGCCCATTTATAAGCCGAATTGCAAACTTTTTTACTTATAAAAGTATTTGAATGAAATTTGATACATAGGCACTTGGAATAAAGGAAAATCAAACGCCAATTTAAAAATTTGGTTTTGCGCATGCGCAGTGCCAACTTTTTTATTTATGGAAGAATTTAAACGAAATTTGATACATAGGCACTTGGGATAAAGGTAAATCAAACGCCAATTTCAAAATTTGGTTTTGCGCATGCGCAGTGCCAACTTTTTTATTTATGGAAGAATTTAAACGAAATTTGATACATAAGCACTTCGAATAAAGGAAAATCAAACGCCAAATTCAAAATTTGGTTTTGCGCATGCGCAGTGCCAACTTTTTTATTTATGGAAGAATTTAAACGAAATTTGATACATAGGCACTTGGGATAAAGGAAAATCAAACGCCAATTTCAAATTTTGGTTTTGCGCATGCGCAGTGCCAACTTTTTTATTTATGGAAGAATTTAAACGAAATTTGATACATAGGCACTTGGGATAAAGGAAAATTAAACGCCAGTTTCAAAATTTGGCTTTGCGCATGCGCAGTGCCAACTTTTTTATTTATGGAAGAATTTAAATGAAATGTGATACATAGGCACTTAGAATAAAGGAAAATCTAGCGCTAGTTTCAAAATTTTATTTTGCGAATGCGCAGTGCCAACTTTTTTATCTATGGAACTATTTAAGTGAAATTTGATACTTAGGCGCTTGGAACAAAGGAAAATCTAACATTAGTTTTAAAATTTAGGTATGCGCATGTGCAGTTCCAACTTTCTTATTTAGAAAAGCATTGAAATGAAATTCTTCGCATAAACTGAAATTGAAGTAGCACGTCAACAATGGATTGCCCATGTGCAACGCTATCTTTTCATTTTTACGATTTTAACAGAAGTTGCATCTTACAAATGGGAAATGAATGCAAGTGGAAATGCGCTTTATGTAAATCGTTTACGATTACTTTTTAACTTGTTTACTGTTGCATCCTACAGTTTTTAGTTTTAAAACAGTTTCTTCTGCAATTACTTTCATGTTTACTTTTGGTTTCGGTCTTTCTACTTCCTTGAGTGAAATTGAGAGGATCCATGTTGGGGAAAGCTTTCTGCGACACTAGGTTTGTGTCCTGGCAACATAAAGAAACCCTTGTTTCCTTCTTTGCAAATACATTCGATTACTACGCCTACACAAATACCAATCGCAACACAAGAATCTATCTTGCTACAGGATTTCTTGCGTGTTTTCTTGTTGACATATGCATATATACGTTGGCCTGTCTTGCAATACTTGCCTTAGTCTTGTTTTACTTTCGCATACATTAATCATATAGGTAATGAAAATGTAAGGGTACAATAAACGCGATTTTTCCTTTTTTAAAGATCCTCCAAACGATTTTGTTACCCTAATCCCACATCGAGATGATATTAATCATGCGAAATGCAAACGATTTACGCAAACAAATAGAAAAAGTTTGTAACCGGAATCTTGGGAAAAAATGAGTTCCTATTTCGGATCTAGACAATCGTGTGATTTCTTGTATTTTCCAGCAGCGGATGTAAACGATGACTAAGTGCGAAGGTGTAGAATTTGTTATATAGGATGAAAAAGTCTCGATTCGTAGGCATCCGAAAACAATCACGCCAGTCCGTAATTAGTGTTTGTTAGTGATGGTCGGTGACGATTGACTCAAAATGGAGCGCCAGCTCTTGATGGTACGTACAGCATAGGCCATAGGCCTTTTGGTAAAATACATTTCCGGAGGCACCAGTAGATCATTGCTTATAAATAGTCGATTACCTTCTACGGGTATAATTAGCATTGTTTGAATTTGAAATATGTGTTTGTTTACATTTACGTAATGTTCTACATTTTATTCAGTTTTTAAGCGCATTTTGTTCTACTAATCCAAGGCTGATACTTGAACTGTCATTTTTCGAAAAACCTCAGCCGATTAATTAGCGACGCCGTCACCTTTTACGCCAAATTATTACCAACACAATAGCTGACCATAAACTTAAAAATGTCAAGATCACTTTAGCGGTTCAAAGGTCGCGTTGTAGTCGACTTTTGTCTACCTGTAACCTTAAATTAATTAGTGTCGCCTTGCAGCGGCCAAGGGACCGAAACGGAGTGCGGAAATTGAATTATTTATAATCCCTGCTTTGGTCCGACGACTTTCTCTTCATGGCGAAGAAAACGCGAAACTGATGGATTTATCACGATACAACCTGAGCGACACCGCATGAATATATTGACAGGTCTGTGTTGCAAATTGGCTTATTTTATTACACGTTTGGAATACATATTAATGTATAACATTATTCATAACAACTGGTCATTAGCAGTTTAATTGCCAATCAACTGTAAGGTCTAATTTTGGCCCGAAACCTTTTCACTGAAAAACTTTGCACGCTAAGCCCGTCATTTAAATCTTCCTCCACGGTCCGATGATCTTCTCTTATACGAATGAAGTTTTGCCACTGTCCTTCCAGCCATACTGCTATGGGTGCAGAAGAACGAAGATCTGTTGGTCTAGCACCGTGTTGTTTCTTCATCCATTCTGCTAGTGGATCATTGCAATCAATCTTCAATATTACCATGCGTTTTGAATTACCAGTTTGATCATTTTGCATACATGTCGGACTCCCATAGTTGTTCTATCGACAGCAGATAATCTAAAGCCTAACTAAACCGAAAGTTGCAAATAAATACAGTCTTTGCTATTATTAAATTGGCATTTAAGAGAACTATGCATCTCATCCAAGACTTCATATTCTGCATGGGCGTTGTCGACTGATCTTAATTGAATGAGAGCACACCTTTCTAGTGTATCTACGTTTCTGATTCTAGCGGCTTATTATTTCTGTGCATAATCAAATCTAAATTGCGCACGTCAATTAGTGCGTTTTTTTAAATTTTTTTATTTGTATAAAGTAGTGGTCGATTAATTTTAGGATTTAAGTAATTTTAATATTCCTAAAGGAATCGGCCCGTGACAATTATTTGCATGAAGCAGATTTCGTATTGTACTTGTTGATAAGAATCGAACCCCAACAAAGGATTTTGGTTATTTTGCTTCATTGATTGGGAATTTTGCATTTAATTTCAGTGATACCATTCTTTTGTTTGGATTAAAATTTTGTTTAGTATTCAGAGGTGTCTGTATATTTGGAACAGGAGAATGCAGTAGTAATTTATTCCGTGGTAAAGATGAATTTTATATACCTAAGGGTGAAATTTAGCATTGACACGGGTTCACGAGATAGGTATTGCATTTTTTAATTTCTTTTTATAAGCCAAACCGATATTTTAATCAACTAACTTGGAAAGGCACATGGAATTTGATCGCTTTCAGTCAAACCAGCGCATTAGATTTTGAATCTCAGTTTTTCAGGGGAGATAAAGGGCCAAACTTCCGCAAGGTAACGGATGTAACAACATTGAGCTAGCCGTGGTTCAAATAAAGATTAATTCTCATTAACGTATCACCGGGGGATCTGTGGGTCACGTTTAACGGAAATCAGATGACCCTTTCTCTACAATGGGGATATGGAATACTCCCCATTAAACGGAAATCGAATCAGCCTTTATCTAAAATCATTCAATCTTACACACGGTTATCTCGTACACTCGGACCTTTTAAGTTTAGGACGTGGGACACAATTTGAAAGGATATTTTATAGCCTTGTTATTCAAATTTCCACGCAAAAGTGAGACGCAGACGAGTTCGGCACAAACCTAGGAATAGTAATGGTTTGATGGAGTAAGTCAGACCTTTAATCGGCCTAGGATTGTGCCGAACTCATCATCAGCGCGCTCGGCTCATTCGGTATTCAACGTGATAGTTTTAAAACATAGGCAGAGTAAAGGTCTGATTTACCCCTTCAGACCTTTTACTCTGCCTATGTTTTAAAACTATCACTTTTGCGGGCTAAATCAGACCTTTACTCTGTCTAGATTTAAAAACTGTCATTTTTACATACGTTCAGCGCCTTCGGGATTAAAATAGTAGTGTCATTACGTTTCCCACGCAAAAGTGATAGTTTTGAAACCAGCTTTGGCTTGCTCGGCACAAACCTAGGCAGTGTAAAGGTCTTATGGGGTAATTCAGAGCTCTACTCTGCCTAGGTGTGTTTGTTGGTTTCCAAACTGCAACTTTTGCCTATGTTCAGATCATTGGGGGTTAAAATAGCTGTGTTATTACATTTCCACGCAAAAGTGATAGTTTATAACCAGTGCCGAGCGAGTCTAATGGTGTAATCAGACCTTTATTCTGCCTAGGTTTGAAAACTGTCAGTTTTGCATACGTTCAGCCCATTCGAGATTAAAATAGCTGTGTTATTACATTTCCCACGTAAAAGTGATAGTTTTAAAACATAGGCAGAGTAAAGGTCTGAAGGGGTGTCAGACTTTTACTCTGCCTAGGTTTCACAATTTCCACTTTTGCATACGTTCGGCTCATTCGAGTCGCAGGCGAGTTCGGTCCAAAAGGCAGAGTAAAGGTGTGATTGGGGTAAATCAGACCTTTACTCTGCCTAGGCTTCAAAACTGTCACTTTTGCATATGTTCAGCTCATTCGGGATCAAAATAGATGTTTAGTTATTTATTACATTTCCACGCATAAGTGATAGTTACAAATCCAGACAGAGGAAAGGTCTGATGAGGTATTCCAGACCTCTACTCTGCCTAGGTTTGTATAAAACTGAGTTTTGTGCGTAAGAAAAGGCAAAAACGAAAGAAATATATTACGCACACAACAGGCGCCAGGAACAACTCTTCTTTGGACCAAAAAAAAACGGCATAACAACAGAATTCAAGAGAAATACACATATCAGTACCGACTGAGTCAACTTCAGCAGATGTGTCTTAGGTTCCGGAACTTACCTAAATTAAACAATTTAAAAGCGGTAAAATTAAAACGAAAACTACGCTACAAACAATTTTATAGGAAAAACAAACACTGAAATACAAATTCAAACGAAACAAACCTTCAGATTTACTTAATAAATTGAAATATTCTCATATACAGGGTGTCCCGTCATTATTTTTGGTTTTTAGACCGATGGAAAAATAGTTGCCCAATATTCTCTAAGGATAAAAAAGACTTTCGAACGCCCTATTAAATCTGGTAACATTGAACTTACTTGAATTGTTATAGATAATTTCCATATATGTACCACTTAAAAATCTTCCTGAAGGTCTTTAAAATTTCTGATACGTACTCCAGAAAAGTTGATGAAAAATCTCTGAAAGAGATTCTTTAAATAATCAATTTTTCATCGTTTTATAAACATTTTGAAAACCTTTGAAAAAAAGGGCTTACAGTTTTAAATCTTTAAAATGTGTATAAAAATCTGCTCCTGAATAATGTTAGAATTGCTATAATTAAGATCTTTTTGTTGTATAAGCTGTACACTAAGAAACCTTTTATATTTTAATCTGGCTAAGAACAACAGCCAAACGGAATATTCGCATAAATTGATTTAATGAAATAATTGACTTTCAAATAAAGTAAATAGGTGCACATTGCGATTGATGTGTCATATGTAGGTGAATAACTTTCTCCATGCCCACCAATCTTCTGGATTTGATTGAACTGGGAGTGTCCTCTTCTCCTTTATTTTTCGATTTTGATTTCATAACATTGATTTTACCGGGATGTAGATTATAGTTGTAGCGACGTGTAACTGGTCCAGATCTTGGTTTTTGAACGATCTTGTCGCTGCGGGGGGTAGAAAAAACATTTCTTCATTCAAATTAGTTTGCGGCGTATTACGTTGCAAACGCGTGTTCCAACATCCTGCTCTAATTCCCACACTTTGTGATTATAACGAGCTGAAAAGTTTTTCAATAGCATCCAAAAAAAAACAAATCGGTATAAATGGAAATTAAGTTACTGTATTTGAAATTGCCATTTATCATTATTAATGTCCATTTGATTAGGTTAACTCTAAAAAAAGGTTTAATTATAGCAGCGAATGGGGCACCTACGTATTATTATGTAAAGCATGTAGTGACCGGAAGCGTTACCCGGAACCTATAGGTTTGGGCGTGTCAAGGTTTCGATCGTTAACAATAAAACGTAAACATATTGTCAATTTGGTGCACGAGTACGTCACTAGACTGGGGTTGCGCAAGGGTCAGTCTTCGGGCCCAATCTATTCCGTCAAAGGGCATTTCAAACCGTGAGAATGATAGATCAAGATAGCGCACGTACGTAATGTAAAAAGGAGTGGAAGCTGTACGTTAATATTTAGAGTAGATGATGCTCTTCACTTTCATGCTGTTATTGCGTGCGTAAAAAGACCTTGAAACCATTTCATTTCTGTACCAGGCACTTCTCACTATTGCCATTCTTGTTACAGATTCTCTGGACGGCATTATCGGTGGCCTTAGGTTTAGAACTACGTGGAGAATACATCCGAGGAGTGCCATGCATAAAGAAACACGAGCAGTTGTTCTGTCCGACGGCCGGAAGTTCCTATCCATTGTAAACATGCGGGATCCTAACTTTCCCCGTACTGACCGCTGCATTTTTCAGGGGACGAATCGAGCTATTTATAGACGAAAATAAAGCGCTAATGCGACGCATGTACGGCGATTTCACGCTAAGTCCAGAATTCGAAGGTCCCGGCCCCGGTGGAGGTAGAAAGGCGAAAAGGTCTGCTAAACCCGGCGTGCCCGATTTGCATTCGACCCCCGGAGTCGATCCCGCTAAGGACGGGGACAGTGTCCACTTCCAAAATCTAGCGCGAGCTACTAGGCAAAATTTTAGAAATAACCAAAGTTCAGAGAATGGAAGGTGAGTTGGGTCCCCCTTCGAGCGCTTGGCGAACATTAATTTTGTTGCAGAATGGATGCCTGTGAGAGCAAGGTCGAGATCGTGACCCCGTACTGGGCATCGAATTCTGCCGGAAAAATTCGTGCAATCGTCAACACCCAGCACTTTGAACAGGCCATCCATCAAGAGGTTTGTTCGTAAGTCGCTACCCCGTTAGGTATGCAAATTTGCGTTTCTAATTGGTCGTTTTGCAGAAAAGTGAGAACGAAGAGGTGCACGAACGACTGTGGATGCGAGCAAAAGTATAAATGGCACCGACTATTAGCGTACGATCCAGATAACGACTGCAAGGGCATCTTTATGGATTGGTTCCTATTTCCATCGTGTTGCGTTTGCCGATGTAGTCCACTGTAACAGAAATGTGGTGCTGTATGTGATCTTATCATCAATAAGTTACCAAAACTGGAACTGTGCCAAAACTTATTCTCATTTCCATATACCTACTCATTGTTAATCATTAAGTTTTCTTTCGTATCTTCTAGAGCTGACGCCGCCCTTTAATTGTGCTATGTTACCCTCAGATTAGAGTTGATTATGACTGACGAGGAAAATTATGTAAAGTATTCTTATTAAAATATGTTTTTTTTTTTTATTTAGGAATGTGTGTATATTATAGGTTCATGTAATTTATCTGCCATTACTTGTACGTAATTTGGTAGTTTTGCAATAAAATCAATTTAATATATTACTTTTGATGTAAGGTGTGGACAGTTAAGACCAATTCTTAGTGAGAATCCGGTAATTTTTCACCTCGAACAAAAATATCTGTTCGACTCCAGGTCTGCTCCTGTGTAAAATTACACCCTTACCGTTTACGTGCGATGAGGACGCCTGGATGTTGATATTCCAGACAATGGTCTGCTTGACCTGGCCTTAGGGTCGCATTGTGGTGTTTTACAGTACTATGTCTTGAAGGAGTTATTTGTGCCTGACGTTCAACGAATTCATTTTTTTTTAAAGAATAATAGTACCCATGTATGCCAGTTTCCGGCTTTTGACTAATAGTTTTTACCCAAAATCGTCATGAAACCATGAAACCTTCATTTTCATGCCTACATTATGTGAGGAAAATTTAGTTTCCATGACAGCGGCAGGTCAGATTACTTTTCCTGCCACCTGTCACTTTACCGGCCGCACCTGTCACATTTCTAAATGTCTATAATGACTCAAAAGTTCTACAGGGTGTAAACGGAACAAGGGAACGCGATTTTTTCGGAAAATTGTTAGTGTCTTTCTAGTAAGCTACATAAATTAAATAATTAATGTAAATCAGAAAAACAATATTTTAATTTTCGGAGATATACATATTTTTGTCTTTTTTTAAATAGTACACCCTGTATATTTTCATACTATTTGGTAGGAAAAAATTTTTGCTTTAAAAAAGTTTCATAAGTTATACCTTCTTAAAATAAGTTTACTGCAAATTAAAGCTGGCTATGAAAACAAAATTTAATATTTGTATTAGTTTATTATTGTAACTTTGTGAAAAAGTATATTGAATTGATAACTTAGATTAGTATTTGTTGTAAAAACAAGGTTTTAAAAAAGCATTAAAAGCTTACAAAAACTTACACAAAATCCATAGTCTCCATCCTGGCGATTTTGCAAGAAGAGTTCACTTTTGCAATAATTTAATTCAGGAATATCGCACAAATCCACATTTTCTAAATAAAATTTTATGGACAGATGAAAGTCATTTATTTCTAATTTTCAAGTACGTTTTTCAACTAATGTGTGGCGTGGAATTGTTAATAACATTCTTCTGAGTCCATATTTTTATGAGAACTTCCCAAAGGTATTTGATTGATGAAAGTGAACTAAGGAATCTTGATGATATACCGTTAGCAGATCGGCGCGAAATTATATTTCAACAAGATGGTGCACCTGCGCACAAGTCAATAGATGTAACCAAGGCCGTAGCCAGGGGGGGGGGGATCACAGGGGATCAAACCCCACCCGAAATATCGACGTTGCCCGTAGTCTAGAGTCGAGTAGATAAGCCGATAAGCGGATAACTAGGCGATTAAATTTAGTATTATAATAAAATATTCTTTAACCCCCCCCCCCAAATTTTTTTTCTAGCTACGGCCTTGGATGTAACAAACTATTTAAATCAAGAATTTCCAAATGTGTGGATTGGAACGAGAGGACCTATAATGTCGCCTGCAAAATGCAAGGTCTTCCTATCTATCGCCTTTAGATTTCTTTCGGTGGGGTGCCATCAAAAACAAAGTTTATGTTACGCACACTACTACACTTGAAAAATTAAAACATAGAATAAGACAAACTGTGAACGAGGTAAATAACAAAATTAATAATACTGTAAATCAACATTTGTTAAAAAGGCTCAAGTTTTGTGTACGAGAACACGGTGAAAATTTTTAACAATTTTTTTATAGTGTTATCAATTACATTTGTAAATTAAAATGTTACATAACTCAATAATGTTGTTTTCATATCAAGCTTTAATTTCGAGTAAAACTATTTTAATATTTTCTTTAATATCTCGAATTCTATTAAGTTTAGAATGTATAATGTGTATGTTGGACTGTTGAAAGGAATGAAGCTATCAAAAGGCTCCAACCAATTTAAAAGAAGATTCCGAAGAAGCATAGGAACTCGACGCATTCGAGAAAGTTTGAAAAAGGATCCTCTGGAAAAAAAGATCCAAAAGCATTGAATAAAAAATTGATGATATTAACACTATTAATGATGACTAGGCTGTCGAAGAATTGAAGAAATCGTAGCATGTAAAGAACTTGAGTCGTTAGTAGGTCGGTGGCCCTACTTGAAACTCCCAGGTGACCCTTTCATTGCTCTAGCCATGTTATATCATAAAGAACTTCCTGGATCAAAAGACCTCTCAAAGATTAACCGAAACTAAAGGTTTTTGAGTTATTTTCTCTTCAAAATTTCGTTACTGAAAAATAAATAATTGCCCGACATCAATGCAAGAATTGCTTTTTGCAACAATTTTCATTATTATGCTCATTTGTAGGTATAATAACAGATCTTGAAATTGAAGCTCATTTTTTATTGGACTATGCACAAATTTGGAAACCAGCAAGATTTAAATAAAAATCACGCCATTTGCAATTTCCTCTATTTAATTTAATAAAACGTTTTTATTTTCTCGACGTCATCGTGACCAAGATAAAGAATGCGAATGTTCAGTATAAAAGTCGTCTGGAACATTAGATAAGCCCGCTAGGTAAGTACGTCAGAAGTGGACAGCTGTACCTGTTATCTTCGGCGACGAAGTTGCAATAGGTTTAAATATGATCAGTTTAAATGCAGCTGTAGAAGTAATAGTGTGTGTCGTATTCAGTTTGTGATTTTATCCCAAAACGAAGAAGAAGCAGAGGTAGGTAATTTTCTTGTTACTCACATAATATGGTAACCCTTACGGCTTACACCATTGAATATCGTTAATTCAATGCATAGACCCAAAGTACGACAACTACTAATTAAAACGTTCGTTAGATACAGAATAATTCGATTTATTTCCGTATAAATTTGACAATTTTCGGCCTTTTTCAATACACAAATTGTTGGAAATCATATTTGCCAGTCTTAACACCTATTTATTACTCTTATTGTTAATTCCTTTGTACAAAATTGATGATCGGGTTCGTGAAATGAAATATTATATTTGCCCAAAGTTTAGTTTTATTGTGTAACTAACAGAACATTTCCTTTTCAAGTTTAAAATATTAATCAAGGACATAGTCATTAGGATAAGCAGGCTTTTAACAAATCTCTTAGGTCGGAATGGAGAAATACTAGGGGAAAGGTCTATCGGGAGAGGTATTCGGGACACTCCCGAGTCAAGAGTTCAAATTTTGGGTAAACCTAGACAATAATAGTATAAAGCTAATTTTTGGTACACATCATAATTGAGGGCTAAATAGTTATATACCTATTAACGGTCGTGGAAAGTCCTCATTCCGCAACCACCTTTTTTGGCCCCCCAAACCCTCTGTCCTTAATATTTTGGTGATTTTTTGGAACTTAACGGAAAACTGAAGCTGATAAAATTCCCCTTCTAATGACGTATTGCGAGCCCACATAGTACCACGTGGTACACACCAGTGGCGTATCTTTTGTGCCCCAAATTTAATTGAAATTTCTTGAAGGACACGTCGAATTTACTGATTTATTTACCAAGAACTATAAGCTTGGCGAAAAATATCGTTACAAATTTTTTTTGGTAGGTGATAAACTTGCAAATCTATTGATGTATAGAACGACTCCCCATAACCAGAGACCAGAAACCTGGTAATTTATTTTTATTTAGTTGCAAAACAACATCTTCAACCTCTTCCTCAAGAGTAGAATGTCCTAGGAGGAACCCATAATATTGTGCGAAATTAAAAAGATGGTTTATTATAAGACCAAAACGCTTCTAAACAATATTCTGTATTATGCTTTTACAATTTAAAAGTGCAGTATCTATAAAGAGCAATTGTTTTAAACGTGTTAGTCTTAAAATAACCTCCATTTTAATTACCCTGAATACTAAGTTTTTCCTAGAACACTTCCTGTACTGAAGTAAATATTCGCATTATTAGTGTAGGTGTATATTTCAAATGAATGTGGTTTTTAGCTAGACATACAGACAACAAAACTACATGGCATTTGAACAGATTTAAACAATTAAATATATGTAGACAATCAAAGGTGAAACTTACTGATAAAAGATTTATTTTGGAGCTCGTCCATTGATTTTTCCTCATGGCTGTACAAACCAGTTGTAGAGTATGCTAAAAAATAAGAACTATATCAAAAACAGTTTTAACGGGATGTGTGTATAGGTACCAGCTGACAACTTACACAGTGCCTCAAAAGGATTCCAATGCAAAAACTTTATGAACAATTAATTGGTTCCCCAAATTATTTTGTGCAATATTAGTATTCTCTTAATTTTCCATTTTTGCTCTTGGACTGGAATAAAATTGAAAACTCACACCTTTGATTGGTGGACAACAATTTTCTGTAAATTAAAACTATTACAGTTATTGCTTTAAAGTAATTAGCTGTTCAGAATTTTGCATTGAAATCAGTACGATGGGTTGTCTAAGTCATCAACTGATATCCAGTATACGCATAAAGGCATTTTGAAATTGTGACTCACCATATAACAAAAAAAATTATTATTGAATGCTTCTTTCTCTTCATGGACCATGCTCCATTCTGTTGAAACCAGTCTTTTGATTGAGAAGTGTGATCGAAAAAGTACGAATTGTTTTGGATTCTACGCACCAAAATTAATAAGAAAAAGTATTTTCCCGAGAAATTTTGGTGCAGTCGATTTTTGGTAAAAAAGGAAGGTTATACACTGCCTTTTTCTGAGCCCCGAAAAAAAAAATTGTCTCAGATCGACCCGGAAAAAAATTTTCTTATAGAATGTGGCCTGTAGAATCCATAATTTCAAACAGTTCCAAGATTGGGCTACTAGTTTAAAAGTTACAGCCCTTTGAATTTTTTTTCGAAATTGGTTTCTAGTCTATAACTTTTGATTGAGAAGTCTGATCGAAAAAGTACGAATTGTTTTGGATTCTACGCACCCAAATTAATAAGAAAAAGTGTTTTCCCGAGAAAATTTGGTGTAGTCGATTTTTGGTAAAAAAGGAAGGTTATACACTGCCTTTTTTTGAGGCCCGCAAAAAAAATTGTCTCAGCTCGACCCGGAAAAAGAATTTTCTTATAGAATGTGGCCTGTAGGATCCATAATTTCAAACAGTTCCAAGATTGGGCTACTAGTTCAAAAGTTACAGCCCTTTGAATTTTTTTTCGAAATTGGTTTCTAGTCTATAACTTTTGATTGGGAAGTCTGATCGAAAAAGTACGAATTGTTTTGGATTCTACGCACCATAATTAATAAGAAAAAGTGTTTTCCCGAAAAATTTTGGTGCAGTCGATTTTTGGTAAAAAAGGAAGGTTATACACTGCCTTTTTTTGAACCCCGAAAAAAAAATGAAGTAACTGAACTAATATTAGACACATTAATACTCTTTACCAAATTAAATTGTTGAACGCTCGGTTGGACGTTATTAATTCGAAATTTTAGAACGAAAAATATCTTTATTCTTAGAGCGCAATTGAAGGGTTGCTTATGGATCATTTGTACATAATCGATTAACGAAATACAAATATTTGATGTTCTATAATAATTACAACCCTCGCAATCGAGGATTACTATGCATACAATTCTGAATTTTCTAATAAAATTCGTAATTTTAAAAAGAAAAGGGACATTAACGTTAGAGCGCAGTTGGAGGGTTGGTTATGGGTCATTTATACATAATTGACTAGGGAAATACAAATATTTGATGTTCTACAAAAATTACAACCCCCGCAATCGAGGAATACTATACATATAATTCTGAATTTTCTTATAAAATTCGTAATTTTAAAGGGAAAAGGGACTTTATCCTTAGATCGCAATTGGAGGGTTTCTCAGGAATCATTTATATATAATCGATTAGCGAAATACAAATATTTGATGTACATCAAAAATTACAACCCCCGCAATCGAGGAATACTATACATATAAGTGAATTTCCTTATAAAATTCGTAATTTTAAAACGAAAAGGAACTTTATCCTTAGATCGCAATTGGAGGGTTGTTTATGGACCACTTATACATAATCCATTAACGAAACAGACATATTTGATTTTCTACAAAAACTACAACCCCCGAAATCGAGGATTACTATACATATAAGTCTGGATTTTCTTATAAAATTCGTAATTTTAAAGGGAAAAGGAACTTTATCCTTAGATCGCAATTGGAGGGTTGTTTATGGACCACTTATACATAATCCATTAACGAAACAGACATATTTGATTTTCTACAAAAACTACAACCCCCGAAATCGAGGATTACTATACATATAAGTCTGGATTTTCTTATAAAATTCGTAATTTTAAAGGGAAAAGGAACTTTATCCTTAGATCGCAATTGGAGGGTTGTTTATGGACCACTTATACATAATCCATTAACGAAACAGACATATTTGATTTTCTACAAAAACTACAACCCCCGAAATCGAGGATTACTATACATATAAGTCTGGATTTTCTTATAAAATTCGTAATTTTAAAGGGAAAAGGAACTTTATCCTTAGATCGCAATTGGAGGGTTGTTTATGAACCATTTATACATAATCGATTAGCGAAATACAAATATTTGATGTACTACAAAAATTACAACCCCCGCAATCGAGGATTACTATACATATAGGTAAGTCTGACTTTTCTTATAAAATTCGTAATTTTTTAAGGGAAAAGGAACTTGTTGTTTATGGGTCATTTATACATAATCGATTAGCGAAATACAAATATTTGTTTTACTACAAAAATTACAACCCTCGCAATCGAGGATTAGGTACTATTCATATAAGTCTGAATTTTCTAATAAAATTGGTAATTTTAAAACGAATGGAGCTTTATCCTTAGAGTGTAATTAGAGGGTTGTTTATGGATCATTTATACATAATCGATTAACCAAACAGAAATATTTAATGTACTATCAAAATTACAACCCCCGCAATCGAGGATTACTATACATATGTCTGAATTTTCTTATAAAATTCGTAATTTTAAAGGGAAAAGGAACTTTAGCCTTAGAGCGCAATTGAAGGGTTGTTTATGGATCATTTATACATAATCGATTAACGAAATAAAAATATTTGATGTACTACAAAAATTACAACCCTCGCAATCGAGGGTTACTATACATATAAGTCTGAATTTGCTTTTAAAATTCGTAATTTTAAAACGAAAAGGAACTTTATCCTCAGAGCACAGTTGGAGGATTACTTATGGATCATTTATAGTTTACACTATGCCTATACTTATTGTCCCGTTACAGGACACCCCTACATAGAATGAGGTATTTCATCTATTAATGTAATCTTACATAAAAAATTTTCCTACTTTAAGTCAGATGTAACTATAGCACTTGTATTGTTTCAGGGTTTCCTTCTTGCAACTCATGGGAGCATCGCAGTGTGACATTCGGCGGTACTTTTGTTTGCCCTCCTGCTACGTTGATGTACACAGAGGTAGGTGGTAGATCTTAAGTTTACAAGTGCTTTTCTTACCTCTCCAAATCTTTGTGTAAGTTTACTAAAGTCATATCAAATCCATGTAAATTGATAATGTCGCAAATGAGTTCAGTTGCTAAGGGTTGAAAAAGAGCGTTCTCCATACTGGCAGTCGTCGCCATAATGAACAACAAAGTATTCGCATTGGAGATGTTAAAAATCAAACTGGTTTTTATATACGTTGGTTCTTTGGTCACTGTTGTATATTTTTAATATCATTTTGTATTTGCCGTTTTGGTACAGCCTCTAAAGTATAAAGGTATCTATACCTTCTAGTAATGGAAAACGCGTTGTATGTGGAAGCAAACTATGCTTCGGTTAATAATGTTTTACCACACGTCAACAAGACACACAAGTTTTTGAAAATGGTCTGACAATATAATAACTACTAAACTAAACTAAATAAAAAGGTAGCGCGAATGTGAGTAAACAAAACTGTTGTCTGCTTAGTGAAACCTTTGTCTTATCATTAAAAATTTCTACCGTCCGATCAACCACCGAGAAAATTTCTCATCTTATTTATCAAGATTCAATTTAATAAGAAAAGTGCAGTTTCCTGAAATTGTCAGCGAGTGTTCACAACCAGGTTACTAGTGGATTCTTAAAAAAAACTGTAAGTAAAATTTTTATTTTATTTATCGAACGTCTACGTGCGGGGTACTATGTCTAAACAATAAGTGTCTTTCTTGCAGAGATTCTGTTTTAATTGTCATTGACAATCAATTAATAATGCATTTATTCGAATCCTTTGTGCGACCCGGATAGTTTTCATGTCAAATTTGTTGTATTTATCTCAGATGAAAATTTGCAGGTAGATGCAAAACCGGTAGAATAAAACCTTCTTTCGAAACTTGATAGACCAATAAGTACAATATAAAAAACGGAATAAAGCTGTTTATTTACAAATATGTATTATTTGGCACTGCTAGTAAAAAAACAATTAATTAGACTAATTGCAAAATTATTATACATACATACACATATGAATCTAATTAATAAAATAAGGCATATTTTTACAAATTGAACCTCAAATTAGGGCAGTATACACATTTTGCAAGCGCAACTCTATATTTACTCATAGGTACCTACATTAATCAGCAAAATCGCTCTATTACAGTATAATAGCTCAGTCAGTACACTTAGTAAAGTAGAATAAATAAAGTCAACGGCTTAAATTACTTATAATTATTTCTAACTTCAATGACGACCGGTCCGGATGAATTGTTTAACCTCCGATCGTAAGAGTAAATTTGTTTGACGCCCGGATCACGATATCGGCTCTTGGTAATCGACTTGGTCTCTGTCGACTCGATGGTTTGGAAGCTACTCCCGTCTCTTGACGGTACCGTTTTCTTGCTGAAGCTCTGGACGGTATTTGTAATTGTGGGTCTTAGTGGGTCGTCATTACGCGTACTGGTGTGGTACGTCTCGGAGTAGTCATTGCTCGAGTTACTGCCCCGTCTTATAATAGCCCTGGTTGTCGGCGTGAGTGACGGTGCGAAGCTCTCCTTGAAATTCTTAACTACGTGCGTGTCTCGAAGTCGCGTGGGCGGCTCGTAGATGTCGCCGTTGTGCTGGCGTGTGGTCGTGCCGTTATGCCTCCAAGATTCGTGCTTTTCTTCTTCGTGCAGAGTTTTGTATAGTTCGGGGGCGCGTTGCTTCAAGTCGTTTAGGAACGTTCTCTTATTGTCACTAACTCCGTTTTTTACAAAACGGGATGTGCTCTTGTACTCGATGCCGTCTTCGGTTAGATCGCGCTGGCTACGGCTGATACTCGATATCAGTCCGGGACTTTTCAAACCGGAAGGTGAGGAGAGCTGCATTTTGTGCGAGGAACGGTACGGCGACTCCAAGTCGACGTTAAAGCTTTTGCTACGCGAGAGATTTGATTTGTAGGTTCGTACGGGTTTCGCGGGTGCTCCATTTGATAGGGGCTTATTTGGGGAGGAAACTGTGTTGATGAACGAGACGTTGATTGTGCTGTTGGATCGGTCGTTTTTTTCTAAACGTGTGGGCGGTTCGTGTCTTGACAAATGTCGGGGCAAGGTTTGGGAATTTCGATTTTCCGGGGTTGATGAATAGCCTAGGCGACTTGTTGACTTGCTGAATCGACCAAGAGTACTGTGTGACCTAGAATAATGATGTTGCATTAATATTTAACATTTCCGCATTTACTAATGTTTTAAAATTTTAAAATTGGGCCAAAGATTATAATATCTTCCAAATAAATATTCCAATTGCACATTTGGAAACGCGCACTTGCACTTTGAGTGCAATTTTATAGTAGGGAAATCCATGCTCCATTATTTAATCGGTATCAGATATCACAGAAAGGCTGTCTACAGGTTGTCAAAATTAGAGGGTTGAATTTTCCAATAAATTGTATGACTGTGCGGGTTGTAAAATTCCATAAGTGATTGATGGAATTAATGACCGTCTTTTATTCGTCATTTAATTTCTATAGCGCGTTGTCCTCTTAACAGCTTTAGGAAATCACGACTCCAGAAAGTCGCAGATGATAAGGGGTAATCTTGTTTCAATAGGGTTTTATTGCAAAAATTTATGACCCAAAAGTACACATTTTAAAGATACAATTCAGCACAATTACCGTAGGTTTTTTAAAACAACCTAGTTTTTTTACAGCGATCCTGATTGGCTTTTAAAGAAAAATGGTTAGTCATATTGGAAAGGCGTTAATTATTTAATAACGAATAAGGGAGATTAATCTGTAAGACAAATTTTAAGGCATTCGCGTTTGAGCTACCGATGCGACCAGTGCGTGCTCCATGGTAACCCGAGCCAGCAGCGTTTAGTCAAGAAGTAAATTTTATCTCTGGGCAATTTTCTGCGGGTAGTTATTCCGGGGAAGTTTTGAAAGGCATTCGGTCTAAGACTACCAAAAGAGAACCAGAGTTTTCCTAAAATCTTACAATTAAAAAATGGCGAAAACAATTGGAAGCAAAAATGGTTTAGCCGAAAGAATATTTCGCGTCGGAAAGTAATTGTTATCTGAATTTAAGCGTAAAGAAATTATTTGTGCTAATAAAACTAGAAAGGGATTTTAAAGGGAATTTGCGTGTTTAGTCGTGGAATCGCTTTCAATCGATAAACATTGGAAGTTAACGTCCAAAAAACTTCATCCTTGGGCTTCGACTCCCTGACAAACTCGCAGAAAAGCTATCCAGTCGAAATTTGATTTTACAGTGTATCATTCTATCAGTTCACATAGCAAAATAGTCGAGGAACTTAGAAATAAGGCGGTTACACAATAAGAAAAAAAAGGTTTATTTACATAGATCACCATACTCATATGTGGCCTAATAATAAAATTCAAAATTTCTCTTGTCACATTTTTTAGCTTGATCCAAGTGGCAATTGCGATCGCCGTTTTTTGGACATGCCAAAAGTTCATGCAGCTTTTAAAGAATAACATTTTCTCCGTCTGTATATCGTATGGATCTTGCTCAAATTTTTGATATGCATTTATTAGCCATACGAAAACGAAAAATAACGGGCCAGATTTAAACAAACAATTTTGGATCGCCGCAACGGCATCGAACTTTTTTCATTAAATTATTCGAAAGACTTTCATTTTCTGTGTACAACCTACAAAAATTCTGCTAGGTTATATTACAAAAAACGGCAAAGCCGTTATTTTGATTTCGTTAAAATTTTAGCATTAGGCATAAAGATTGTAATTAATTTTGGTGTCCAATCTCTGTTGAACTCGAAATGGGGTTGTATAATAATTATTAGAAAGTGAACACAGAACCTTCCCCATACACTTGGAATAATCTTTAATTGTAATGCGACATGTTTCGGCTAACAAGCCATCATCAGGCCTAAAATGTTATAGCATTGAGCAAGTTTAAAGATCGGGAGCTTCCCTTCAGGACTCTCGATCTTTAAACTTGCTCAATTCTTCGTCCCCGTCAGGGTCGATTAATTTTTAACTTGTATTATTAATATTTCGAAGCCGTTCGGATATTAAAACATCTTGTAAGTTTTATCACTCTTGTGAGACAAATTTGTAATCATACAACATTTTAGGCCTGATGATGGCTTGTTAGCCGAAACATGTCGCATTACAATTAAAGATTAATCCAAGTGTATGGGGAAGGTTTTGTGTTCACTTTCTAATAATTATAAAGACTGTAAGTAAGAATGTCAAAAACGTTTTTTTTTTAAATATATGGTTTGAGCTAGGAAGCTGTTCTGTCAAGTGGTTTTGTTAGACCTTGAAAGAATAAATTGCTCACATGCATTGCAACTGTGGAAGGTGTGTGCGTTGTTTATTTTATGGGGTTTTGTTTCTTAATGGGTTTCGGAAATTTTTCGAGCTAAGATATCTGGCGTTTATATCGTATTTCATCTTCTTAATTAACGCTATTTAGTTCCACTTGAAAATGCAGCACGAGATCATTCTTTGGATCATAAGAAGTAAGAATCATCAAACCTACGTCAAAAAATTACCTTTTGACTACAGGTCGCAACCTTGTGAGCTCATAAGAGCGCCTTCTGCCATTCAGTAATAGATAACAACACAATCAAACTAATAAAAGGGGTAGTGAATAGCGCGGCACTTAATATATTGCGAAAGCAATTCTAACGTTTAACCCTAGACAATCGAATATTAAACCGTAACTAATACTCAATCAGAATCAATAATTCAACTTACGTTAACTAACCAGAAGCAAAATTTTGACTCGACCACGGATTTATCCTACGATCGATGATTATATATATATATATAAAAGCATTAACGTGGCGTTATGCAAGAACAAACTGCTTTACGATGCACAAGCAACTAACTTTCTATACAACAGCAATGCAATCTAATTAATTTAGAATGTAAATCAGGTAGTATGAACAATTTTTTCGGAGTAAATAAAATAACGTAGGTAACTAAAAATTGCAGATATTGGCTTCGGGCAAAGTCGGTAACTTCAAAAACTAATTTACAAAGCAACGGTAACTAATATCAGTAAACAAATTAATATAAAGTATATGAAGCGTTGTTAAGCTAGTACAAATGAATATTTGGAGTAATCGTAGGTAATGTAGAATGTAGATCATAATCCAAAAGACAAAAGCACTTGAGGTAAGAAACCACGGTTTTCAGAATTTAGAATTAGTACCTTGGGGTAAATGCAAAAGGGGTTCCGTGAATGCATTCGCCATTCCAAATGCGTATCCAAAGAGAACTGTGCTCCAACTCTCCCAAGAAGTTTAATGTCATCCCTTCTTAGCCTGGTCAAAGTACACAAAATATCCGTAAAATGCAGCAAAAAGTAAAACCCTTTTGGAAATTCAAACTTAGGTAGTTAAAAGGATTGTGCTTAATATGAGAAAATCTTTACCAATTTATGTAAGCAATTTTTCGGAAGAACTTTGGTCGAAAATTTTGTTATTTGTTTTTTCACTCTAATTGTTTAAATAATGAAAATACAGAAAAATGTTCAAATCAAAAATTATAGCCAATGCATTTATCTATAAAATTTGTCTGAAGTTTTCTGATATCTTTTGAAATATACCAAATTTTCCTAAGAGTATTTTTAAACATAATCAATTTTCAAGTTTTTAATTTTAAGATAGTAAATAAACAATGACACGTAGAAACGTAGAGTTTTCATTTATTAATCATATAGAAATCAATCAGTATCATTCGTCTTCCGAGCTCAAATATAACTCAATATCATTTTCATCTTCACTGAAGTTATCCGCAAAATGTGAACCTTGAGTGTCTTGATTATCACCATTTGTAGTTGTTTGATCGTCGAAGTCATCATTATCTTCATCTTCGTCAATATCTACGCTGTTTTTCTTCTAAATTAGTACAATTTCCCGTTTGACAGTGACCACATGCAGGTGAACAAGGGAGCTTAGCTTTTCTACAGCCGCAAGCCTTTTTACAACCAGTTTTGCAGTTACAAAAGATCATATTTAAAATTTCAAGGGCTTGCTTCATTTTTATAGGCATTAAAATATCTTGTTTTTGCCAACCCCAGGATTCAGGAGAAATTTTAGAAGATAACCATTGTTGAATCTGATAATACACTCTAAAAACATGTTGTCTTGCAGCGTCCGATGTAGGTGAAAGAGTGGCCAAATTTACTGCTTTTTTTTAACAACATTATGTATCAACTAAGTTCATTTAGACTTTGAACTTTTGTTGGAGCTTTATATATATGTAAAAGGTATTTAACACCATTTTCAAAAATGAGATTTTTGTCGGCATTTTCTCGATAAAAATAATGAATAGGATCTCCCAACGTTTCGTTATTATTTTTTCAGTGCATCACAACCTTCAAATTATTAACTTTTAAATCAAGCCTTTAATAAACGGGACGTTCGCGCGCACCCACGAATCGACTTCTGCTGAAATCAATTATATCTCGTACACTTTTCAAGTTACAGAAAAACTTTTCAGGCAAATTTTGTAGATAAATGCATCAGCTACAAATTTTAATTGAAACTTTTTTCCGTATATTTAATATTTAAACAATTAGAGTGAAAAAACAAAAACAAAATTTTTCACTCCACAATTTTCCGGAAAATTGCATACCTATCTTCGTAAAGAATTTTTCATAATAAGCACAACTCTTTTGAATACTCAAATTTGAAATTTCAGGAGGTTTTTATTTTTTGTGAAGCTATATGTGTACTTTCACCACGCTAGCTACAAGAAAAACAATATGGCATTAGAGTGCAATTGGAGGGTCGCTTAGGGATCATTTATACATAATCAATTAACGAAATACAAATATTTGATGTACTACAAAAATTACAACCCCCGCAATCGAGGACTATTATACATATAAGTGGAATTTTCTAATAAAATTGGTAATTTTAAAACGAAAAGGAACTTTGTCCTTAAAGTACAATTGGAGGGTTACTTAGGGATCATTTATATAAAATCGATTAACGAAATACAAATATTTGATGTATATACCGAGGTATATACTACAAAAATTACATAAGACTAGAAACCAAATTCGAAAGAAAATTCAAAGGGCTGTAACTTTTGAACTAGTAGCCCAATCTTGGAACTGTTTGAAATTATGGATTCTACAGGCCCCATTCTATAAGAAATTTTTTTTTCCGGGTTGATCTGAGACAATTTTTTTTTCGGGCCAAAAAAAAAGGCAGTACAGGCCTTCCTTTTTTATCAAAAATCGACTGCCCCAAAATTTCTCGGGAAAACACTTTCTCTTATTAATTTTGGTGCGTAGAATCCAAAACAATTCGTACTTTTTCGATTAGACTTCTCAATCAAAAGTTATGGACTAGAAACAAATTTCGAAAGAAAATTCAAAGGGCTGTAACTTTTGAACTAGTAGCCCAATCTTGGAACTGTTTGAAATTATGGATTCTACAGGCCACATTCTATAAGAAAATTTTTTTCCGGGTCGATCTGAGACAATTTTTTTTTCGGGCCTCAAAAAAAGGCAGTGTATAACCTTCCTTTTTTACCAAAAATCGACTGCACCAAAATTTCTCGGGAAAACACTTTTTCTTACTAATTTTGGTGCGTAGAATCCAAAACAATTCGTACTTTTTCGATCAGACTTCTCAATCAAAAGCTATAGACTATTTACAACCCCCGCAATCGAGGACTACTATACATATATGTATAAGTCTAAATTTTCTAATAAAATTCGTAATTTTAAAACGAAGAGGAACTTTGTCCTTAGAGTGCAATTGAAGGGTTGTTTAGCGATCATTTTTGGGACTCTGTGAATTTTGCTGATTGATTATAAATTAATAAGGGTGGCCCGGGAACGGAAGAGTATTATGCAGACCCAGTGATTTTTTTGTTCCTGAATCCCAAATGTTGGTATAATTTGAGTGATTTGGCCAATTTCAAAACATTGAGCATAGTAATTGGACGTGTAGTAAAGTTTAGGTAAATCCAATTTGGGAAATTCTTGTAGACTAAGATTAGGTAGTAAGCTTTTGGGGTGAATGTACTCTGTTTCTACACAAAGTTCAAAATATAAAAATGCATCATTGAATTTAATAAACAATGGGAGGACTGACGTGCCTTGTATCTCATCAGGGTTTTCGAACTCTAGATTTTTGAGGCAACTGACGATGATCTTCAGCGCTTTAGATAAGATCACCTCCTATTTAATCTACTCTAAGCCGCTTAGTAGTTTCATAACGCAAAAACTGCGTAGTCCTTGACGATGGCGATCATCTATACATGGTAATAGAGCATTAAAAACATGTTTGCTTCGCGCTTCATTTACAAATTAATTTGGCGTGAGAAGGTTTAGGAGAATTACGAAATCGATCGACTAATTACTATACCAACCCTCATCTGCGAAAGGAATTTTTCATTGATATTCAAAACCGACGATGGTTATTGCACTTATCCTCTACGCGAAGTTCGACTAGTTATTCTCGTTTAATAATTCAAGGTTAATAGGAATCATGACTCAGACGCGATTTTTTTAAATAAAGGAAAAAAGAAGATAAATACCTATATTCTTCCGGTTGCTGTATGTACTGCTTTCTTGTCGAGCGCGCCGGTCTTACCCCATCGTACTTATTCTCACGCCCGTAAATGCTGCCGCCGAAAGGATCCTCTCCCAGGTAGTATCGGTGAACTGGCCCAGGCGAATTTTCGCGTCGGCCGTTTTCCATGTGGTGGCCGTTTTGCGATTCGTGTATGTTATCGATAACGTGGCCCTGCTTATACGACGGCGAAGGTGACCTTTTCGTTCGCTGCTGCTGCTGGCGAGCTTTGCGTTCCGCACTTGCCGATCTGATCTTTCCGACTAACTTGCGAATAGACTGACCTAAACATTGAAATGATATTTATTTACAAGATAGTTGTAGGTATTCAAGTGGGAGTGTTCTTGCATGCTAATTAATTGAGCATGAGGCCTATTAGTAGATTTGACCTTGCCCGAAGTTATTGGAAAAGAATTTTTCGCGATTTCAAATTCGGCGCAATTTCTCATGAAAATTCAGTGACTTAAATTCCTTAAGATTATCTTGCAATTGAACAACCGTTTGTAATTAGGCGAATTAAAGGAATCTCAGCAAAAGACCTATTTTGGGAAGTACTTATTTTTGAAAATAAGGCACTTATTCTGTTTACCTTGACAGCCTAGCACAGATTCATTCATTCATTTCTCCTTTTTACACCAAATAGGCGTACCTAAGAACTCAAACAATTCATTGTTATTTTAAAATAATTAATTCGCTACTCTTTTCATTCCTTAGGACTGAGACCACACCACCAAAATATGCCACATCGAAGACAAAAACTATTTCTCTGATTATTCCAATACAAAGATTTTAAAACAATATTCAAGAACGTACAGTAATCTCAGTATGACAGCAAAATGATCTAAATTTGATGCTATAGATCAAATAGATCCCTAGCCTTCATTTGCCTTCAAAATAGATTCAACGTGATCCTGAATCATAGTTTTTTAACCCTTACAAGGTATTAGGGCACTAAATACATAATGATCGAATGAGTTAAGGAAAGAGCGTGTTCAAGCTCTAGATTCAAAACATGATCTGGTTCAATTGGATTCGATATTACACGAACCTCTGACACAGACGGATCAGGTGGATCCGATTAAAAACTGTGGTCTTGAACTGTAGATTCTTCACGACCAAAAATTGAGCTATCCCCTGTTAGAACCAAATGAAACCATAACTTTTTTGCCGTTTGCACGTCGAGCATATTCTGGATTTGCCTCAATCAAATCCTTAGAGCGCAAATGGCAGGTTCCCTATGGATCATTTATACATAATCGATTAACAAAATACAAATATTTGATGTACTTCAAAAATTACAACCCCCGCAATCGAGGACTACTATACATATAAGTCTAAATTTTCTAATAAAATTCGTAATTTTAAAACGAAAAGGAACTTTACCTTAGAGTGCAATTGGAGGGTTGCTTATGGACATTTATACATAATCGAATTAACGAAATACAAATATTTGATGTACTTCAAAAATTACAACCCCCGCAATCGAGGACTACTATACATATGAGTCTGAATTTTCTAATAAAATTCGTAATTTTAAAACGAAAGGAACTTTACCTTAGAGTGCAATTGGAGGGTTGCTTATGGATATTTATACATAATCGAATTAACGAAATACAAATATTTGATGTACTTCAAAAATTACAACCCCCGCAATCGAGATACTATACATATAAGTCTAAATTTTCTAATAAAATTCGTAATTTTAAAACGAAAAGGAACCTTAGACTTAGAGTGCAATTGGAGGGTTGCTTCGGGATCATTTGTGTATAATCGATTAACGAAATACAAATATTTGATGTACTTCAAAAATTACAACCCCCGCAATCGAGGACTACTATACATATAAGTCTAAATTTTCTAATAAAATTCGTAATTTTAAAACGAAAAAGAACTTTAGCCTTTGAGTGCAATTAGAGGGTTGCTTAGGGATCATTTATGTATAATCGATTAACGAAATACAAATATTTGATGTACTACAAAAATTACAACCCCCGAAATCGATGACTACTATACATATAAGTCTAAATTTTCTAATAAAATTCATAAAATTCGTAATTTTAAAACGAAAGGGAACTTTAGCCTTAGAGTGCAATTGGAGGGTTGCTTAGAGATCATTTATGTATAATCGATTAACGAATTACAAATATTTGATGTACTACAAAAATTACAACCCCCGAAATCGATGACTACTATACATATAAGTCTAAACTTTCTAATAAAATTCGTAATTTTAAAACGAAAAGGAACTTTAGCCTTAGAGTGCAATTGGAGGGTTGCTTAGGGATCATTTATGCATAATCGATTAACGAAATACAAATATTTGATGTACTTCAAAAATTACAACTCCCTCATTCGGGGACTACTATGTTGAGTTCAACTGAAAGTTTCAAGACGAGTTCGTATAATGGAGGTATACGGAAGATTTGACATCCGAGTATTCGTACGTGAGATTTTTTATCGCGGAAGTTTAAGTTAATTGCCGATTCAATCGTGAATATAGTGCGCCTCTCTTGTTTTACGTGAGCTAACATTTTCGTTTTGTTGCATTATTGGACCAGCATGATCGCGTTTTAATTTTACCACTAAAGCATTGTGTTGAAAGGTGCAGAACGTTTCATTTCATTTATACTTAGAGTGGTTAGTTACTATAAAAACAAGTTTACTAACCAAATTTGTCTACCTCTCCTGTTCATGCGGGGTGGTAATAGTATCCTAATTTAAACGCTAACCGATAAAAAGTTTAAAGACGATTAATTAGTGTTTTGTTAGCTGGTAAACCCCTATACAAGTGGAAACGATATTATTTTTACCAATATATTCAAACAAGCCAATTTACATGAGTATTTATTGGAGAGTGATCAAACCATAGTTACAGGTTTTGATTTTCAGATTATAAGAGAAATAAAGTACCAACTTTCCACAAGATAACAGACATTAAAAGTTTATTTATTACTGAACTAGCCGTGGATTTAATTATTTCATTAGAAAAAGACTAATTATTACAGTAAAATTTTTACCAGTGCCGGACCGATTAAAATTTATGTTATGCAACCCCTAACGAAGCCGTTACAAGGTGCTACAAATTCTTTCCTCTGCCGAAAGCACTTTTCAGCAAGGATTTGCTATAGGTCCTAGTAAGTGCAATCCATTGGACCACTATGTTAAGCTTCTACATAAGTTAACACGAGCGTCTTTTTTTCAATGATCCGTTTTTCCGTGTAATCTGCCTCCTTTTATAAATGATTGTAAATCACATTATGTATTGATATATAATGGGCCTTTTTTTCCTTCCGATTAGCATGTAAGATGCTCCCAAAATCGAAAAAGAATCAAATCTCACCTATAATATTTCCGCTCTTAACCTTAGCCGGAGGTAGATCAACGGCGAACCTAGTTTTCTGATGCGCCTTTTTATTTGGGGTCGCTGCTCTCGGGGGACTGACCGGCGAATAATCAGGGGGCGGCTCTTCGAGAGGCTCATCTAAAATTTCGTTTCTCGAAGGTGTTCTACTGCCGTTACGCGCCCATCCCTCGTCCTCCGTACGTATCGCGGGTCGCTGCGGCCTGTCCTGTGTCCGTTTCCTTTGTGGCGGCGTCGGTGTGACTTCGCGACTGGGCGAACTCCTGTAATCCCTCGGCGGGGTGATTTGGTATCGGTCTTCAACGATGTAAGTGGGTGACGAAGGGCGTATAATCACCGGCGATTTGCGCTGCTCTCTTTCAGACCATTCGGATACACCTGCAAGGTGGTGGTTGAGACGCACGAATGAGTAATAGTGGGTTTACCTTGAAAGTAGCGCGATTGGCGATGGTGGTAGCCATTTTCGTGGACCGGGCTCACTTGGGGTTCCTCCACTCGGCTCACATACTCAGATTGAACTGTGGGTTGCGACTTAATGGTTACGTTGAAGAAGCTGGTTCTGGGTGCAACGGGTTCTTCTTTCTCCTCGTCAATGTCATCGAGCGAATCGCGCGATGATCGGGATTCGCTACCGAAGTGATGCTCGAGCCATTTGGACGTCTCCAATTTGCGCGTTTCCTCCTCTTGGTCGAAGTCGAGAGGCTTCTTGGTCAGTGCGTCCTTTCGATCCAGTGGCGACGCTGAGGGAATCAACCCGCCTTCAACACCTAGACTACACGGTTAGTGTAAAATCGCGAGAGCAATACTGACCTTTTATCCTCTGAACTTGACGAACGCCTCCATTTTGCTGTCGCCGCCTGACTCGGGCGCTGAGCGAGTCCCAGTCCGTTTCGTCAAGTCCATCGCCGCGCCGTTCCACTTCCGTAGTCTCAGCCTTAAACCGCATTTCGTGCCCAATTTTAACACCATCGGCTACATAGTCCACATCCTCCTGATCCCGCACCTTGTAAAGCCTCTCGTGCTTCTCGCGATGCTGATTTTGATCGGGCTCGCCCTCGGGTAACTCGTCGTCCTTTACCTCTTCGTGTTCGGTCGTCCTCTGAACTTCCGTTACGATTCTTCCGTCCGGAAGCACCGAACTCAGTTCTTTCGTTTCCTCTGTGTCCGTTACTTTGTTGGAACGATGGGTTTCGTTTACGAGTCGGGGTCCCGTTGAGATCAACGCATGACCTGCCTCCTTCGTCTTCAATACCTCACGAAGATCGGCCTTTCCGCTATTCACTGCCGCCAGAAACGCCTACAAACAGAAAAGAATTATGATTATTATTTGTGTGCGGACCGATTTGATCTTAAACAATGCCACTTAAAAAAAAGCTAATTACAGGCTAGTCACGGTGATTTGAAACGATTTAGAATTTGAATGACTATTATGTAATCATTGTTATCCACACTGTGAAGGGTGGGCGTTCTCCATACGTCGATGAAGTATCGCAACAAGTTGCTCGGGCACTGTCATTATCTTCCATTGTACTTGCCCATGTTTAGAGACGGCGATTTGCATTCAAAGTCAAAACGGTACATCGTTTCAAGTACAAAATCCTCATTTGAAAGTCAAAATTGCAACATTGCATTTTGCTTTTTAGCTGGTGAGATCTAGTAAAACGGACAAAAGTCTTTCTCACTTAGGAGTTTAAATTGCTTACTCTTCACGTTAAATACTATGCGCTGTTGCGTAACTAACCATGTATTAAAGTTGTCGGAAACACTTGAGCGTGCTTGTTAAAGGAATTTCATTAATTGAGCCAAGAACATGAATAGATCCCCAAAATTCAAAAGCCCTCACTTCTCGACGAATTTACACTATCATGTTTTTGGGGTAAAATTTAAACGTCTTATGTAATGTCAAACACTGGCATCACTGATCGATTACGCTTATGACTATTACGGTACTATCATTAGCACTACCATTTTGGTTTGTACAATGAAACCTGAACATGTTGGTGTAGGTTCCTATAGATATACAGTGATATTCGAAGTAGACATAGGGATTGCGTGTATTGTTTCTCCCTATGTCTACTTTTAAATGACAAAATCTCTTCCGAGGGACGTCTAATTTTATGCAACCAAAATAACTTCTTAAATCAAATGAAGATCTGGCTATCATATTAATTAAGTTGAATATTATTGCTTTGGCTTGTTGATATTGTCAATTAGTATAGTGCAAATTCCAAAGCAGAATTGCGAATTCAATTATTAAGGTGCGGTAAACTTTTTCTGAAAGAGTGAAATTTTAAAAGGAGCATAACATTTATCAGGCAGTTCGCATTCAGCATTTACAATTACAAAGTTCAGAGTAGCAGTGCAGAATGCGTGCGCATGAGTTATTTGGGTTGCATAAAATTAGGCGTCATTGTCATTTAAAAGACAATACGCGCAAATCCCTATGTCTACATCATAATGAATATCACTGTAGATGAACAGATCCGTTTGACCGGTTTGCATGAGACTTGATTTTAGTGTTTCCTGTTTACTTAATCAATCAATCAATCTTTATTTGTCCGTATACCATAAATAGGTTTTTACACGTCAGAAAATATAGTAAATATTAAATTAGTACAATGCATATATATAAAAAGAATAATAAAAACAGTTTAAAATTTCAAATAAATAAAAGCTAGACAGACCAAACGTATAATCCTATAGTATCAAATTTCCTACTCGTAATATTAGGTGTTTCTTTAATTCCCAGAAGATAATAGGGCACTATTGGTCTAAACAGTTTAATAACTTCACTTTGAACAATCCTTCTTCATTCTATCGCTTCTAATAATTCAAGGATTAGAGAAATTATGCCTATAGTGTATATCTTTGTAGAAAGGTGATTAGTGAATGTGTCCTCGGACAACAACAGGGTAAACAATATCGTTAACTAATGTTTACTGTCCAGGAGTAATGAGCTCTGATTTAGTTATAATTGATTAGAACAGAATATTTACAACATGATAATAAATATGCTTATTATTTAAGGGACCGCTGCATTTTAGCATCGCGTTTAACAAATTATAAACCTTTGTTTGTATACAGGGTACCCACTATCTATGGAATATAGTATAAATTTCGGTAAACGATAACTGTATATACATTTTTTCTACATAAAAGTTGTTTAACTTTTTATTTTCTATAATCAGGCAGCATTCAGTGGTTTTCATGTCAGAAAACAAATGAGTAACGAAAAACAATTGAATTTTTTTAAATAGCAATGTACTCTTTCATTAGGCTCATTTGATAGACATTTTTTTTGGTACCCTTATATTGCTACAACAATTATTGATAATTTCGTTTTGTCTTCAAGGTTTAATAAGAAACGTACCTAGACGTTCATCTGTTTTATCTTGATGTAAGATATCCAGACTAATTAATTAATGAAGGGTTTTTACATTTTTTTGAACAAATTTCTTGTATAAAAGTTCTAACTTATTACTTTATTGAAAAGAGAAAAAAAATCTCTATCAAATGAGCGTACTGAAAGGGTGCTTTGCTATTTAAAAAATTCAATTGTTTTGTACAGAGATGTTTTATTTAGTATATTTCATACATAAGGGGCATCTGCCAGCTTTGAGGACCACCCGGTACATGAACACACGGTATCGAAATGGGATATAAATTCGGGCCCTTCGTGACGAGAAACTGTAACTGTACTTACATAGTTCTTTACTAGAAGAAGGCCGCCCATAAGAAAAACCTGATGCTCTAACTAACTTGCCGTTTGTAACCGTTCCCGTGGGGATATTTTAATTATCTTAGCAGCATCCGAAAGCTCCCCTTGATTGGAACAGGGAAAATTAATATTGTAAGATTGTAGCCCCCTTAATTAATTATTATCCGATTTTAGTTTCTCACTGTTAAGCGAAAAAGAGCATTCAAATTGCAAGACTGTGCGGCTTATTTCATTGTCGCAGATCTTTTCTATTCTATGTAACAAGTTAAGTGGATATAAATACCGGCAGCTAATCAGATGTGTTGCAGCAAACCTCGTCCGATTAGACTGTATCTAGTGTCAAATGAAGTGCGCTTAATTGGCATGAGTTTCAAAATTAGTCACAGATTCTTAGGAGGTCAGAGAGTCCTGTAATTAATTAAAGATGTTTCAATGTTATCACACGAGTACGCCTGCCGTCTCGAAATTCCGATGTTCCCTTTCCGTATTTTGCGATTCAGTATAAGGTAATGATTTAGAGACAGTCTGAAGCGGACAAATTTGAGGGAGGTACTGGGTATTTCGTAGGTTTTGTCTTTGCGACACCTATTACGACGAACATTCTCTGACTTTTGGAAGTTAGTCGCCATCCTGTTACAAATTGCGAAGGGGTTGATTCATTTTAGCAAGCCAAAAGCTAGGTATGCTAGCAGTTATATCGGTCACAACAAATTATATATGTTCCGCTTCTCAACTACCAGGTAGGTATTATATACGGGGTGCCCTGTATGTATGGAATTTAGTATATATTTCGGACTGTATTATACATTTTTTTTCTATATGAAAGTCGTTTAACATTTCATTTTCCATAATATGGCAGTATTCGGTTGTTTTTATTTTAAAAAACAAATGAATAACGAAAAACAATTGAATTTTCTTGCATAAGAGTAACTAATATGTTCTGTCTCTATCAAAATCCATTGTTTTTCGTTACTCATTTGTTTTCTGAAATTATTATGAGAAATAAAATGTTAAACAACTTTTATATAGAAAAATGTTGTATACAGTCGTATCCTGTAGGTATACTGATCCATATTCATAGTTTTGAACCAAACAGTTTGCGAGTGCGCATATAGCAATAAAGCGGCCACAAAGCAGTACTAAAAATACTGATATAGAAATGAATACGATTCTGATAAAGGTTGTATTATAAAAATGAACCTGATTGGTTTTTTTTGTAAACGTTTAAACTATTGAGGATGACAAATTTGGTTTGATTTAACTTCAGGTTTTCTTAGGGAGAGCTTATTTATTTAAATACACTTTGACATTTAAATACTGAAAACTCTTATCAATAGGAATCTAGAAGGATAGACATCAATGAATAACGAATAATGTAAAGTACAATATTTTATTATTTTTTGGGTAGCGGTACCCAGAAATTCCAGAAATGCCACCTCCGTCTCCTGTGCTACCGTTAATGTTTTGAATTACTTTTATTTTAGATTATTTTCTAAACTATAGGATAAGAGGCTGGGCGAGACAACACAATGTCATTTGAAATTTGGTTTAAAAGTGAAGCCTTTTGAGTAATTTCCTGGATGAACCGTGAACCGGAAATGCAAAAAAATCCTACAAAAATATTTTTGATTCTGTAACGAGAGCATCTTTATTTTGTTGCGATTTTTCCCCGCTGAATTACGCGAGAGTAGACATTTTTGAGTTGTAAAAGAGTCAATGTTCTGAGAACATTCCACCAAACAAATATTGTTCATGTTTTAAGCTTCGAGTTTTATTTTGATGATTGGCATAAAGATAATGTACGTCAGTTCCCACAGTTTTTTTGTTCTGCTAATTTCCTTTAATCCTGAGTCGCGTCAGGAAGTCTAAGTCTGGTTTTGAATTACACTCTGCCAATTAGCCTTCTTTAGTTACTTTTGCAACTCGACTAATTGGTAATAAAGCTCTGTAAGAAAATGCTGCTTTAGCAAAGTTGAGAGATTTTTTAGTCATAAAAATTAAATTCACAATTTCAGTATATGTGCCAAATTTATTGGTTTAATAACTACTGATTTTTGCTTATAAAAATGTGTTTAAAGAAAAATTTAAGTATACATTCAATTATCTCGGTATCCATCAAATTGAAAAATTTAAATTAATGTTGAAGGAAATTTTGTACTTCAAAGGAAAGTGAATATGGAATTTACTTAAAGTTTGAGTCGATTTTCAATATACCTACATATAATCAATTGGCCATTCAGTGTTTATTTGGTAAGCAGCAAAGAGATCAAGAAATCTTGTAGTTCCATTTCAGATTGCAGGTTTTAAGATTTCACCTAAAGGAAGTAAAAGATTTTGGAAAGAGTTGGACGAGAGTAATTCAATTATTTTATTTTTAGTAAAAATCAGGTATTGAATAAACGAAAGGATAATTTCAAACCGCTTTTATGAAATAGAAACGGCTTATTTCAATCCAATATTCTATTCTATTCTATTCTATCAGGGGAGCCTTTACAGGCAGCACTTAGGCTCATCAACGGCCCATTGTGCTAACCCCCTCTCTAAACAACCAAAGCTTAGAGCCCGTTCCCTTCAATG